TATATATATATACTGTGTATTCTACACTATACATGCTCTTATCCATATCTATTTTCCCATCTTATATATTATCCATATCCAATCATTTTCTGCTTAAGCCAGAGTTCAAATTTGTCCCTTTATTTTCATTTTGCCTTTTCTTTTCAGAATCTTAATTGGGACATCTGAGCCTAAAACGTTTTCTGTTTTTTTTTTCTTCTTTAATTTTTATTTTACTTTCTTTTTCAGCTTATTAAATTACATTTCAGGCCATTTAGGATTAGGTAGGCTCAGCTGTTACCTTTAATTTTATTCCTATTTTATTTTAAGTTTTGTACTTTGGGCTTTTAAAGCCCATTCTGAAAATAAACGATCAAAGTTAGGAAAATACAATTAAAATTATAATAGGTCAAGCAACTCGGTTGTAGGCCCATTTATTTAATAAAAAAAAAGTCAATTTCATTTAAAATTATAATAGTACAAACAATTTTTTTTTATAATTTACATATTAATAATAATAAATTATAGAAGGAAAAAAAATATGTTAAAAACAAATAAAAAAGAAACGAGAAAAAAATATGATTATTTTCTTAAGTTTATTGAAAAATCCATTGAAATGTTAATAGTTTCTACACATTCTTGTACAAATTTTATTTTTTATAAATTCACAAAAATAATTTACAAATAATTTTTTTTTTATTTTTTATTAAATAGAAGATAATAGTATGAAAGTCGTAAAAAAAAATTAATGAGTATATCAGTAAAGTAGGAAAAAGATGTCTTATTCTCATAAAAATAATCAAGAAAATGATTAATATTTGAAAAATATCATTCAACATTTAAAATTACATATGAGAGATTATATCAATAAAATTATCATATTTAATTTTTATATTATAATTAATTTTAACCCCTCTATTTTTTTTTCAAGCTCCCCTGTTGAATCCCATGTTAACCACCCAAATCTCCTTTTCATTGGGTAAACCTTAATAGGTTAGATTTTTATACACCATATGCATCATTACCGTGATTTATGACATCAAGTAATTTTAGCTAAACAAATTTTATCCACAAATATGAAGATGCGAAATACTAGCGATACATTTTTTTAAAAATCTTAATTAACTATAAAAAAAAATATCTGAAAGAGTGTTTAAAATATGTAATTAAACCAATTAACCTAGAGATAGGAGATTTGGAGTAATATAGATAAAATAAAAAAAATAAAAAAAATTGTTTGAACTGAGTCTTGTGTGAGTGTGAGAGTGAGACAAACATTTCTATAGGTAGAAGCATACTCAACATTATGTATTCATTCTGATTCAATCAGTTCGTGGGATAGCTCCTTGCAATAAGATTTGGGGACAACTTGTGTGAACTTATTATTTTATATTCGGTGCTTAATAACACACAAAAAAGAAGAAGCAGAAATTACATTAAAAAAAGAAACTAATGACAAGGCAAAGAGATAAAGACATAGATATCGATCTATAGTGCATAATTGATCATATCGTCTCTGCCCCTCGAACCCTTTCGAGATTTCAGACGAATTTGAACAACATACGGTGGCAGAGAGAGAGAGAGAGAGAAAGAGGCATGACACGTGCACATGTATATCCCTTCCTTATGTTGTTACACGTAGCTGAGTTCCTTCCCTTGTTTTGTTGCTATTATTGTTGAGTTGTGTTTGGTCACGAGCGTTAACAACTTGCTCCTGTTTTTTCTCTATTTTCTCAACGTGCTTCTCTTCCTTCTTCTCTCCAAGCTCGATATCAACCAGTCCACTCCCATCACTCGCAGTAGTGTTAGCGTTTTCGTCATTGTTGGTAACATCGTCTTTCTGTTCTGGCACCTTTTCATCCTTCACGGGCTTGTTCTTTCTGTATATTAAGTAGAGCACTATCTGAATTGTTCCAAATGTCACACCCACAAAGTTCGGAAGCTGTATCAAGAGAAAGAACATTTTATTATTTATTGTTTATCAATAATTTTGAAATTAAAAACCAACCATATATAATATTAATATATATATAT